CCATTATCCATAAAAAATTCCTTTTTTTCATTTAATTTCAAAACATTGTAGCTTTTCTCCACCTTTTCCCTTTCTTTCTTCTCCCAACAAACCTTTCTATCCCCCCTTCTTCTAGCCTCTGCCTTACCAGCTTCCCTTCTCTGTCGTATTCCTTTTCCCTTTTGTTTACTATCATCATATTGGTTTTGCACCTTATTTTTCCCTTTCTTAAATGTTTTTTTAGATCTTAAGTCCTTAAGTCCTTTAGTTTTCTTCTTTTCTCTTCTTTTCTTTTCTTTCTCTCTTCCTTCTTTCTGGATCAAATTCTGAGATTCATTAAAAATGGCTCCTTCCTTTCTTTCTTTTTTTTTTTTTTTAAAAAAAGTTTTATTGATTTTAACAACAAATAAAAACACATAAAACATAAAACATAACATAAAAACATCATCATTCTTCATAAATTTACAGACAGTGTATCGGTTGGTTTATCACTCCTTTTTGTGCATCTATTTCATAGTCATCATAATAATTATGTTACATAATAACTCATATTATCAATCAACAATTATATATCCTAATATCCTTATTAAACAATCATTTGACTATAATTTAACTAATTCATGCTTAAGCGAGATAACTATAATTTAGTTAATTTATAACAAATCGTAAAATCATACCAAATCTATCTTAATATAATATTCTAAAAATATTATCAAAACCAAAATATATATATATTCTATTATTATATTGTTTTATCTAACCATTGATAAAAAAGATCCCAAACTTCATAGAATTGTTTATCTTCTTGTTCTCTAATTTCAAATGTCAATCTACTCATTTCAGCACATTCCAATATTTTCTTAATAATTTCTTCCTCTAATGGTATTTTCTCATTCTTCCAATTTCTAGCAAATACAATCCTAGCCGCTGTTAACACATTTACAATCAAATACTTTAAGTTTTTATTAAATGTATCAGGTAAGATTCCCAATAGAAAAATCTCTGGTTTCAAATCTATATGTTTTTTTGTCATTTCTTCCAACCATATGCGAATTCTAGTCCAGTATTTCCTGGCCTCCTCACAAGTCCACCACATATGGTAATATGAGCCAGGGATCTGATGACATTTCCAACACTTTTCGGATTTATTCTTGAACATTCTTGCTATTCTTGTCGGGGGAAAATGCCACCTGTAAAACATCTTATACAAATTTTCTTTATATGCTACTGACATTGTCATTTTATAATTTTGAGACCACAATTTTTGCCATTTTTCTAAATCAATCCCATATCCAAAGTTCTTCCCCCAAACAATCATTGTTTCTTTGACTTGTTCTTCCTCTAATTTAATTTCCAACAAATAACTATATAGTTTTTTAATCACTTTTTCATCAGCACCTGTCAAAATCCCATCTAAATCAGTCAATTTATCATAAAATCCTTCTGTTTTAGAATCTTTAAGATACCTTGAGTGTATTTGCGCATATGAAAACCAATTCATCTTTATATCTTGTTCTTCTAGCTTTTGCATCGTTTTAAGTTCACCCTTTTCATCCAGTATTTCCCCATATCTAACTGTTTGTTCCTTCTTATAAATTATGGGATAGGAAAAAGCTTCAATAGTTGATAACCAAACTGGAATTTTCAAATAACATTGTTTCTTAATTTTCTCCCAATTCAACCATAACGATTCCCGTATATAGTGCCTTCTGAAATAACCCTGCGATTTAGTTCCCTTATACCATAAAAAAGCATGCCAACCCAATAATAAATCATGTCCTTCCAATGCCAGTAATCTAGACTTTCTTAACGTTATCCATTCTTTAACCCACATTAAATTTGCAGCTTGATAATACAACTCCCAATTAGGAAGGCCAAATCCTCCTCTAATTCTAGCATCCTGTAAAAGTTTTAGTTTTATTCTCGCTTTCTTACCTTGCCATATATACTTCAACACCATTTTATTTAATTCATCAAAATAGTCTTTACCAAGCCTAATTGGTATTGTTTGAAACAAATATAAAATTCTGGGTAAAATATTCATTTTAATTGTTGAGATTCTACCTATCAAAGATAATTGTAGATTTTCCCATTTTTTCAAGTCAGATGCTATCTGCTGTTTAAGTTTAATATAATTATTCTCTTTCAGTGTAGTACATCTTGACGTCAAAATTATCCCCAAGTATTTAACTTTATTCGTAACTTGAATTTTCAATAAGTCTGCCAACTCTTCTCTTTGCCTTAATAACATATTTTTTGTCAGAATCTTTGTTTTGTCTTTATTTATTTTCAAGCCAGCCATCTCACCATACGTCTCTATCTTTTCCAGTAGTTTTAAAGCTGTCTCTAGAGGATCTTCCAGAATAAAGACCAAATCGTCCGCAAAGGCTTGCAATTTAAATTCCTCCTTTTTAACTTTCATTCCTTTTATATTTGTATCCTCTCTAATATTTCTATTTAATACTTCCAAA